CGGTTCATCTATTACATGCACACATGTCATTTGGATATTGGTTAAACTACTAAATAAAAATTATTGAAATTAAAATATATTTTTTTTTGTTTTGAGATACCATCAAAACGTATCTGGGATAAACATGCTCTAAAGAAATTATTATAACTCATAAGCCTTAATTTTACCAAATAAAAAATGAATCATAGACATGTAAATATTATGTTCGGTGAAAAAATGTTATCTCTATGAATAAAGAAACGTACTCATAGTTTCTTCACCCTTTAAACCACCATATATAAAAAGTGGCATGAGCATCGTCCCAACTGGTAGCAGTGGTGCTCATGAGTCGGCAACCCCAGCCCACGACGGTCCAGGTGGCCAATAAGGCTATAACCACACCCGTAAAACTAGCCATGTATCTTACGTAGCCAATATAACTAGACAACAAATTATATATACAGGCGATGATGAACTTAACAAAGGAAATATATTAGATATAATATAAGTGGAAAATGTGGACCCAATAACAGGTATATTATATATGTGTCTTTTAGCAAAAAAAATAAAATAACAGGTATATATACGAGAGGGAGTCCATTGTTTGAGAAATCTAAAAATATAATCTAAACACATTAAGTGATGTTCTAATTCAATTTAGCATACTTTCTTCATTTTAAAATTTATGATTTTTGTGTTTTATAAGGTAATAAATTAAAACATACTTTAGATCGACCTTTTTGTCNATAAATCATAAATTTTGGATTTCTTAGAATGTTTGTGCATTTTTATTAGTTTACTTTGTGTTATTACATCGATTAAATGTATATATATGTGTGTTTTAGTTAATTTAAGTGTAAATAAATAAACCGTTTCTAACTTTAACAACAAAAATTTTGTAACTATGTGTAAATATATATGTCAAATATATTACTTCATTGTGCTAATGACAATTCTCTATAATAGCAACATTTAGAAATAGTAAAATTGGATAATTTGGAAAACAAGTTTTTTTCCTCGCGAAAGCCCAAAACGAACTTTAACTAATGCAAAATAAGAAATAATTGTATGACATTCTTCTTAATTTATTTTGAACGATTACAGATTGCGCCCCAAATCTCTGGATAATGTATTTAAAAAAATAATAATTGGAACAACTAATTAAAGTAGTCTTTATTTGTTCCAGTACATGTTGAAGGTACCTTAAACGGAGAATCCTCAAGGCAACTATGAACTATCTAATGAAATGAAATGCACATGTGTGCTCATTAACACTTTGGATGTAAAACATAACATACAATAGTCGACAAATAATCCCGCAGAGAGGGAAAACAAAAGAAGGGGTGCACTTGTACCTGTAAAGATCTATCATCTAAGTAATACTTGAACGGTTTTTATTTTAAGTTTTTAACTAGGCCGCATGTTGCATTTTAAAATTTTGTTGGTCAATATATATCCTTGATATTCCTATGTTTTTTTAACTTTAAATATACAACTTTTTTTTTAAAAGGCACCATTCCAACTAAAAATTAATCTTGCCATCATAAGTTTGGTTAAACTGCCAATTAGTTGGAGCAACATTATCAAACTCCAACCGTCTCCCATCACTTATAGTAACCTTAAAAGACAAACTCTGTCCGGTTAACTTCGTACTGGTATCCCAAACCTGTCCCCAATTTCTCCTCATCGTAATCCAACCGGTTCTCGAACCTTTCACCTTAACATCAGTCACAGCACCGACATGTCCAACATTGAGAACATGAATCATCAAGAAAAAGGTTTCCCGGTCAACTCAAACTTGACACCACCATGTTTTTTCGGGCATAAAAGTTGCCGGTATTTTAATCGGAATAATCCCGGCTTTGTACTTAGCGATCTTGAGGAACATCGGTAGAGATAAATCGAAATGTTTCTGCNGCGGANTGCACCAAACACCTACNGTTTTTGTGTAGTTGGGTGGGCAGAAATTGGTGGCTGTGACGATTATTGGCTTTGCTCCTTTGATGCACCATTGT